TCGTGTACTCAAAGGGATTTAACATTGGGATTTATTTGTGATTTCGCAAATTCACATTGGGATTTATTATTTTCTGATGCTCCCGAATCATAAGCCCAGCCCAGGCCGGCCCATACCGTCGTTTGGCATCTCTCTCCGGCAGCGCCACCACCCCCTGCACGGCCAGCCGGACCCCTTCGCGCTGGCGGCGGCACACCCCTCGCCGCCGCCACCTCCCTCGTGGCGGCCACCGGCGGAGACTCCGCTCCATCCTGTGCTGCGGAATCAGCCTCGCCCTCACCTTCCGCATCCCTCTGCCTCCGCCGCTCAAGGTACTCCCCTCTCCCTCCCCTGCCCCCAAATCTCCACCATCTCCTAACAACGAGCGAGAGTGGTTCGAGATGCTCGTTTGTTGTGGACAAGGAGTGTGAGAAGCTGGGGAATTTGTTCCCTAGTCTGCAGATTCTGTTGAATTCTGCAGATTCGAACCCACAACCCAGGGAGAGGTCTTCTTTTCATGCTCCATGTTACAAATTCCCCGTGGTCTCTTCTGAAATGGCATATCTCATACTGCAAACGTAGTGGTTGCTTGTCATCTACCAGGGTACCGAGCGCGTTGTTGACGAAATACGCCATGGTAATTACTGCTAATTAGCATCTTTCCGCTTTGGGTTGAATCATGCCCTTTCCATATTCAACCCGCTGTTCAGTTGATCCAGTTTATATAATTGTGCAACCAAATGATGCTCAATGCTTTCGTACATTTCACTCGATCCTTTTTGTGGTTCATGTCTATATAGATAAGTTACGTGCTTAGAGCTAACACGTATATACCATACCATTGTATACATGACCACATCTCCTTTACAATCATGAGTTGCATACGAGGCAACAACAAACAGCATAACTGCTTAAAGGTTCGGTGCCTACTCATTGGTCACTTATTATTTCGAACACTCGTCTCAATATATTCTCAATACACACTTGCGTCGGAGAGAGGTTAGATCTTGACTAATTTGTGATGTGTGTTTTAGGTTATTCAAATCGTTTCTTAATTGGACTGGTTGCTCAAATTGGTAAACTATGGACTTGCACCAGGTACTCCGTATCTAGCTCTTGCAACTGGACAAGATTAAGGGATTGGCTTTGTTCCATCCATTTTTCTTGCACAGGTAAATTGGTATTCAGGATCATGGATGCAGTAGCCGGCGTTAGGACTTGTTATCTTCTCACTGGAAAATGGTATTCTACAAATGTTAGCTTCATTTCTCGAGTAACTTTGTTGTTACAGAAAGTTACCTTTGTTGATTTTAGCTAATTGCTTGTTCTCATTTTTTATCATAACATCACAGTATTACAAGTTACCTATAAAAGTTCCATCCTGACAAAGATGGTCTTTTCGGTATAACTGCCAATGCTTGGGAACTTCTAAAAAAGGTTGTGCCTTCTGGCAGTTTGTACCTGTACGATTTAGGATAGCCTGCCTTTTATTCTTAGAAATAAATATACAGAGATATTTCTTTCAGTTCGCTGTAAATTCAGCAATCTTCAACTGCCAATCTTCTAGTGCTGCATCTCTAAGACATTTTTTTTGCTTCAAAGGAAATTGATCTAATTTACGCGCCCCACTTCATTTTTGTTCTTCCTGATTCTTATCCAGCAATCAAACTGGTTATTTCTCCTGTTTCATTTTGAAGGGCTAGAGCGCAACTAGGCCTTTGTTATTTCTGACCAATATTCTTATTAGTTAACACTTCTGCATCATTCTGTTCGTCAAGCATGATAGTTCCATTTTAGTTAATTGTGCAACTAAATGATGCTTTCATGCATTTCAATGGATATTTGTGTGTGCGCAAAAGCTGGTCCTATAGACGGCAAAAACTGATAAATTTACCTTGATCTAGTTTGTAATTGATAATGTGCAGGAAAGCTAAACAAGCAGTTGAATTGATCGAAAAGTCAAGTGTAGGAATTTGATGTGGCTGATGCACTAGAACTTCTCTCACCAGATTCTGAAAGCAAAGAAGCTATCCAACGCCTTTATGTGTGCTTCCATTTTTCTTAGATGCCTGTGATAGGATGTTCTCAGATTTTATTGGATTTATTCGCGTGAAAAAAAGAGATTTTCTTGGGTTTACAGACAGTTTTTTTATTTTTCACCCTTGTAAATTAGTCATTGATAATTATGTGATTCTTTTTGTCATTTCTCATGAAAAATTGTTGTATAACAAATAGAAAGACATGCGTCCTTTTGTCAAGTCTGTTAATTCAGTTTACACCATCTGTGTTTTTGAGAGAATTTTCATCATCTGTTATGCATGCTTATCTCACTGTAATGTGCTTGCTCTGTTTCAATAGAGATATGGACATATTGTCTGCTCTCTTGCTCCCACTTGGCCCATATTTGAGATTAGCATGATAGAAGCAAAATATGTGCTATTTGTGGATTTTCCCACTATAGCTATCTACCAGTTTGAGGACTGTCAAGTAGATGGCAGTGTTGGCCCTCTGATTCACCAGGTAGCAGAACGTGTTCAGGAACTCAGTAGGTGACCGAACTTCCACTGAACATGATGAGGGGGTGGGAGCTTGGCTGGAATCGTCTTCTTACCATCTGTTGTTAATTGTGTGATTACGTACAAAACATGATGGTCTTTTGATTACATTTTTAACTTGTGACTTGTGAGCTTTCATTCTTTTTTTCCTTTTAGAACACCTTTTCATGCGCTGGTACTACTAGCAAGTTTTCTTCCCAAACAAGTTTTCTCATGGTCTTAGCTACTAGAAAATAATCTAAATTGTGTGACTCAAGACGACACATTTTATCATCTCAGATCATTAACTTACTCATTGTTTACTGTTCTTCAATGCTAGAAAAACAAGGATCATATATAACTTGTCTTGGTTGCTTTTTTGTACTGTCTGTCTAGTAGTTCCTTTAATTGACTTATTCTGATAAACTCATTTCAGCAAATATGTTCACCATAGCACCTACGCTTCTGCTTACTGGTGTTGCACCTCAAGAGTCATCCATATTTAAGACGGCGAATGGGGAGCATCCAAGATAATCGGAAAGAGAGATGACCTCTGCCAAGATGAGTTGGTAGTTATTCTAGTCCTTTTTTTACATTTCATGAAAATCGCTTTGGCTTTTGTTCTAGTCATTTTGCCATCTCTACATATTGGGCCTGCGCTAGTGGTTATAGTGTAATATTCCTGTGATGCCAACCAGCCAGCCTGCATTTTCAGTCCTTGCTAACTAACTTGCCATTAAATTAAATGAAACATTGTGCATCGACCGGAATGCATGTTGTAGACTCTGTTGGAGTTAAATGTGGGTGGGGTTACATCTTGCATTGTATGGTCGTCTCAGCGGGAGCAGTGTTTGGCACTGCGCTTGTGTAGGCAGCAGAAGGCTGTATCATAGCGTGTCAGCTTGGCAGCACAAGTGGGGCTGCATGTGCCTTTCGACACGATAACCCAATAGTACCACACGGAGTAGGGCATAATTAAAAGATGATGGATATAGGAGTAGTATAATCTTCTTCATCGGACCTCTTAAAAAGTTGATGGACACAATAAAAACACTGTTGCTAAATATATAAGTTCTCATGTCAGTTCGCGGAACACTTGCCACTTAAGCTAAATATATAATCCATTGCGTGGTACGCAGATGCTGTTGGATCAGAATGCTGTATGAAACATTAATCAAGGACATGTGGGGTCTTGCATTGCATGGTCGTGTCGGTGGGAGCAGTGTTTGGCACCCGTGACACACACGGAGCAGTACTCCACCCCACCCCACTTGTGTAGTGTAGCGTAGTGTAGGCTGTATGAGCTACAAGATGCGACATGGCGCGTCAGCTTTGCAGCACAAGTGGTTCTGCACAGCACAGCCAAGACCCAAGTCTTGCCTTTTCACACTTGAAGTTTCGCCTCACATGCATTGCTGCACTTCAACTTGTAGCCAGCTCTCCATGGCTTCACATCAAGATTTATTACATGTGGTGTGTGGGGTCTTGCATTGCATGGTCGTGTCAGTAGGGGCAGTGTTTACCCCACATGTGTAGTGTAGGTTGCCTCAGCTTTGCAGTACAAATGTAGTGGTGCTGCTGCAAGACCAAAGTCTTTCCTTTTCACACTTGCCAGACCACATGTGCCAAGACCCAGTGAGTTAATTCTCAAGCGCCAGCTAGCTAGATAGTTTGGTGATGGATATTCAAGAGTGGCTTATGTTTAAGATAGCAAATGGGGCAACATCCACCAAGATGAATTGATAACTATTCTAGTTTGTGTTTTACATTCTGTTTCTAGAAACTGAGGTACAATCATTGTCCTATGCCAGGGCCACTGCATGCTACAGGATGAGGTTACAACAAGAGTGTGGGCACCCGTGCTACAGGATGCTGCCTGCAAACACTGCTGAATGACTTAATTTATTAAAGCCTGCATTGCTAATGACAAAATTAAATATTTTTTCTGTGATTTGATCGAGAACAGATCTAAGGCTACATACGACCGTTGCATATTGGAGAGCTCAAGCACTATACTCGTCCCGCTCACAATATTTCTCTTCTTAACTCAGGCATCCAAAAGCTTCAACATCTCACAAAAATCTCCAAACTCCGGACTAGAGCCTGCCTACAGCCCCGCCCACGCATCCGTTCGGTGCTGGCCGCCATAACTTCACCGGAGTCGCCTCCTGCTTCTGCGCCGCCTCGCCGGCACCGACAAGGCTCTGAATCTGCTGCTGCTGCTGCCGCCGTTACAATGCTGTAGCTGGCGCCGACGTGCCTGTGAGGACAACGTCTTCCTCGCTGCTGCTGCTGCGTTGCTGGTCCTGGGTGCTGATCAGGGGCAAGCTCGTGAAGGTAACTATGGCTGCAAGATTGTATTTTGACTTGTAGTTTGTTGAAGATCAGATCCCAAGCTCTACTTATAAATGTCTTGCTCACACCATTCTCTCCTTCATTAATTTCTGCAGTTCACCTGTGTTGGAGGAGTTTCTTCCGAGAGTTCCAATGGCGGAGCTGGTGGCCGCCATGGCCATCCGGCCACTGGTGTCCATCCTAATGAGCAAGGCGTCCAGCTCACTCCTGGATGAGTACAAGGTGATGGAGGGAATGGAGGAGCAGCACAAGGTTCTCAAGCGCAAGCTTCCAGCCATCCTTGACGTCATGACTGACGCTGAGGAGCAGGCAACGGAGCATAGAGATGGTGCCAAAGCCTGGCTCCAGGAGCTCAAGACTGTGGTCTATGAGGCAAATGAAGTCTTCGATGAATTCAAGTACGAAGCGCTCCGCCGTGAAGCCAGGAAGAAGGGGCACTACAAAGAGCTTGGCTTTGATTTAATAAAACTCTTCCCTACTCACAACCGTATTGTGTTCCGTCATAAAATGGGTCGCAAGCTTTGCCGGATTCTGAAGGCCATTGATGTCCTTATAGCGGAGATGCATGCCTTTAGGTTCAAGTACCGACCACAGCCGCCGGTGCCCAAGCAGTGGAGGCAGACGGATTCTGTTCTCACCGACCTGCAAGACATTGCCAGCAGATCCAGAGACAAGGATAAGAAGAATATTGTCGCTACACTACTTGGTCAAGCTAACAATGCAGATTACATAGTCGTTCCCATTGTTGGAATGGGTGGCCTTGGCAAGACCACATTAGCACAGCTCATATACAATGAACCTGAAGTTCAGAAGCATTTTCAATTGCTGCTTTGGGTTTGTGTCTCTGATACCTTTGATGTGAACTCCCTGGCCAAGAGTATAGTTGAAGCATCTCCCAATAAGAATGTTGATACAGACAAACCACCATTGGATAGACTTCAAAAATTGGTCAGCGGACAGCGGTATCTCCTTGTATTGGATGATGTTTGGGACAACAAAGAGTTACGTAAGTGGGAAAGGCTCAAGGTATGTCTTCAGCATGGTGGCATGGGCAGTGCAGTGTTGACAACAACTCGTGATAAACGAGTTGCTGAAATTATGGGTGCAGATAGGGCAGCCTACAATCTCAATGCTTTGGAGGATCACTTCATAAAGGAAATTATTGTGGATAGAGCATTCAGTTCAGAGAATGGAAAGCCTCCCGAGCTACTCGAGATGGTTGGTGAGATTGTGAAGAGATGTTGTGGCTCTCCATTAGCTGCAAGTGCACTGGGCTCTGTACTTCGTACCAAGACCACCGTGAAAGAATGGAATGCTATAGCATCTAGAAGCAGCATTTGCACTGAGGAAACTGGAATCTTGCCAATACTCAAGCTTAGCTACAACGACTTGCCATCGCACATGAAGCAGTGCTTTGCTTTTTGTGCTGTATTTCCAAAGGATTACAAGATTGATGTAGCGAAGCTGATCCAACTATGGATCGCAAATGGCTTTATCCCTGAACACAAGGAAGATAGTCTTGAAACCATTGGACAACTTATTTTTGATGAGCTTGCTTCAAGGTCATTCTTTCTGGATATAGGGAGGAGTAAAGAACACTGGGAGTATTATTCCAGAACAACATGTAAAATCCACGATCTTATGCATGATATTGCAATGTCTGTTATGGGAAAGGAATGTGTTGCTGTGACTATGGAGCTAAGTAAAATTGAGTGGCTTGGAGATACTGCTCGGCATTTGTTTTTATCATGTAAAGGAACAGAAGGTATTTTGAATGCTTCTTTGGAGAAAAGATCCCCTGCCATTCAAACACTCATATGTGATAGTGATATGCAAAGTTCATTGAAGCATCTATCAAAATATAGATCTTTGCATGCCTTGAAGCTCTGTATTAGAGGCACAGAATCATTTCTTCTGAAATCAATGTATCTGCATCACCTGAGGTACCTTGATCTCTCAAACAGTTCTATCAAATCACTTCCTGAAGATATAAGTATTCTATATAACCTGCAAGTGCTGGACCTTTCCTACTGTTATTATCTTGATCGACTTCCGAGGCAAATGAAGTATATGACTTCCCTCCGTCACCTCAACACTCTTGGATGTCCGGAGTTGAAGAGCATGCCTCCAGGATTTGAAAATCTCACTAAGCTGCAGACACTCACAGTTTTTGTAGCAGGAGTTCCTGGCCCTGATTGCAGTGATGTTGCAGAGCTGCAGCATTTAAACCTTGGTGGTAAGCTAGAGCTATGTCAGATAGAGAATGTTATAGAGGCAGAGGCAAAAGTGGCAAACCTTGGAAACAAGAAGGATCTCAGAGAACTGTCATTAAGATGGACTAAGGTTGGCGACAGCAAGGTGCTCGACAAGTTCGAACCTCATGGTGGGCTGCAGGTTCTGCAAATATATTCATATGGAGGAGAGTGCATGGGTATGTTGCAAAACATGGTTGAGATCCACCTTTTTCACTGTGAAAGATTGCGATTTTTGTTCAGATGCAGTACAATCTTCACTTTTCCAATACTGAAGGTGCTTACGCTAGAACATTTGTTGGCTTTTGAGAGATGGTGGGAAATAGATGAGTGGCAAGTAGAACAGACAATATTTCCTGTGCTTGAGAAGTTGTTTATGAGCAATTGTGGAAAGTTGGTAGCATTACCCGAAGCACCATTGCTGCGAGGACCTTGTGGTGAGGGTGGTTATACATTGGTACACTCAGTGTTTCCTGCCCTGAAGGTGCTCAAAATGAAAAACTTGGAGATCTTTCAGAGATGGAATGCAGCTGAAGAGACTCAAGGAGAACAGATATTGTTTCCTTGTCTTGAGGAACTGTCAATTGAGAAATGCCCAGAGCTGATAAATTTACCTGAAGCACCATTGCTTGAAGAACCATGTAGCGGAGGTGGTTATAAATTGGTACGTTCAGCCTTTCCTGCCCTCAAGGTGCTCAAAATGAAATGCTTGGGGAGTTTTCAGAGATGGGATGGTGCTGCCAAAGGTGAACAAATATTTTTTCCACAACTTGAGAAACTATCAGTTCAGCAATGCCCAATGTTGATAGATTTACCTGAGGTACCAAAAATCAGTGTGTTAGAAATTGAAGATGGCAAGCAAGAGATCTTCCATTTTGTGGACAGATATTTGTCCTCATTGACCAATCTGATACTGAAGCTAGAAAATACAGAAACACCGTCAGAGGTTGAGTGCACTTCAATTCTACCTGTGGACAACAAGGAGAAATGGAACCAGAAATCCCCTCTGACAGTTGTGGGGTTAGGATGCTGCAACTCATTCTTTGGACCAGGTGCACTAGAGCCGTGGGACTATTTTGTACACCTTGAAAAGTTGGAAATTGATAGATGCGATGTGCTCGTCCACTGGCCAGAGAATGTGTTCCAAAGCATGGTATCCTTGAGGACATTACTGATTAGAAACTGCAAAAATCTGACTGGATATGCACAAGCTCCTCTTGAGCCGTTGGCGTCCGAAAGGAGTCAGCACCCGAGAGGTCTGGAGTCTCTTTATTTAGAAAACTGCCCAAGTTTAGTAGAGATGTTCAACGTCCCGGCATCTCTCAAGAAAATGGATATTGATGGGTGCATTAAGCTTGAGTCCATATTCGGCATGCAGCAAGGCATGGCAGAGTTAGTCCAAGTATCTTCTAGCAGTGAGGCAGACGTGCCTACAGCTGTATCAGAGTTGTCATCCTCACCCATGAATCACTTTTGTCCATGCCTAGAAGAGCTACGTTTATTCCAATGTGGAAGCTTACCAGCGGTTCTGAACCTTCCTCCGACTTTAAAGTACATTCGTATTGCTAGCTGTAGTAGTATTCAAGTCCTATCATGCCAGCCGGGTGGGCTCCAGAAACCAGAAGCCACTACCTCCAGAAGCAGAAGTCCTATCATGCCACAGCCACTAGCAGCAGCAACAGCACCAGCTGCAAGAGAGCATTTACTTCCTCCCCATCTCGAATCTATAGCAATACTGAACTGTGCTGGCATGTTGGGTGGGCCTCTCCGTCTGCCTGCACCCCTCAAGGAACTGTGCATTTATGGCAACAGTGGGCTGACATCGCTGGAGTGTATGTCGGGAGAGCACCCCCCATCGCTGGAATACCTTGATCTTGAAAGATGCAGTACCCTGGCATCCCTGCCGAATGAGCCGCAAGTATACAGGTCTCTCTGGTATCTTGAGATCACAGGCTGCCCTGCTATAAAGAAGCTCCCTAGATGCCTGCAGCAGCAACTGGGCAGCATTGGCAGCAAAGTACTAGATGCCTGCTATAAAGGTATGCTTGCAGCACGTCCTTCTATCTTTGCCACATTTAACAAACAGATGCAGTCATCCATTCCATCCCTTGTACATAATGGTCAACAAGTTTGCAAAAGTTTCTTCTCCATTATTTGAATGCCATCATGCTATACATTATGATATAACACATTAGTTTGTACAAGTTTTTTTTTCTGACATCGCTTGTGGTATGTGCAGTAACGGAATTCAAACCATTGAAACCGAAGACATGGAAGGAAATACCGAGGCTAGTCCGTGAGCGGAGGCAGGCCTGCCGGAGCTGAAGCTGAAGGTCATTCAGCTTCTATTCAATGACAGGCCTGATCCCTGATTCTTGCACTGCTCTGTTCTGCTCTGCTAGGGGAATGGCCTGTGATTGCTTCTACAACTTAACTCTGCTGCAGTCGCTCTCGGTCGAGAACTGCTGGGGCCTGCTGCTGCTTGGCGTCGAGTCGAGCATCTCTGAATCAACATCCTAGGCCAAGACCATCTCATCTTTGTTCTGGTTTGCTGTTGCCTGCTGGCCCTTGGGGCGTGTACACCATTCCTGTCATGTAGCCCAGTATTGTTGTATCTGAATAGCTTCTTGCACCATACAATATTTAATTTGTACACCAAAAGACTGGGGAGGATACAAGATGTTTGTTTTACCCAAATATTTATGCCTAACAACATATACAAGGTTCCATAATTTTTTATCAACCACTCAGACATGGATTTTACCAATAACCAGCAAAGCAGCAGCAGGTGATTTTTTTTATCCCGCAAAAAGCATGCCGCAGCTGAAGCTAAATCATATTAATTTGCACCCGCGATTCATGTTTCATTTTGCAGCACAATGTATGGGACGTGGAAGAATCAACATACAATGGTTATTCAGACTCATCCCAAACAAACGGACTAAAATCCAAGGAACCCCGCAAATTTTGCAGCAGAATGCATGTAGTAAACATTAATTTTGAACCCTGCAAATTCATGTTTCATTTTGCAAACATGGAGCCACGCCCTAAATTCAAGGACACTCATGGCCTCTTCTTGCCAACACCATAGCAATCCGTTACCAGAATTAATCTACAACTGATGGTGTTTCAGGTCTCACCAACGATCCAGGCGGGTTATTCAATCAATCATCCCGACAGAAGCAAAATCGTGTGCTCGACACCTCGCTCACTCAGCTCCGAGCCTCCGACTCGCAACCCCTCCCCCAGAGCTACTACTGAGCAGCTCCCATGGCACCACCGCTCCGCCTCGCCATGCGAACGCACGCCTCGAACCTCTTGACCGCCTCGGCGCACTTGAGCGGGTCCTGCATGTTGCTCCTGTAGCACTCGGCGCAGCCGGCCCTCTCGTCGGTGCACGGAGAGGGGTTCCCTGCCAGCTCCTTGGCCCTCTTGGTGAGCTCCTCGCGCATCATCGCCTCCTTCTTGTGCAGCTTCTCCAGCACCTTCTCGCTCTCCGCCACCACGGCGCCTATGGCTTCCACCACCTGGATTGCAGGAGACGGTGGTGGAGGAGCAGGGGTCACTGGCAGGTACATGGGTGGCGGAAAAGGCAAAACAGGAGCAGGGCTGCTCTTGGGTTCTATGTCCTCTGGTTGCTCCACGACCTTCCTAGGCTTGGGTTTCCTGGTCCTCCTCTTCACCTGCTTCTCGTCATCGCGCGCGAGCTGATCGATCAAGCTGGTGCTTATCCGGATTGTGTAGTCACCCATGGCAGACAAGAATCCTGAAACAGCATCACAAGCAAAACTCAGGGATTAACAGCAAGATTTAAGGAGGTTAATTCAAGCAAACAGAATGAACTGCAGTTCAAAAATTCTGAACTGAATGAATGGTGTACATTAACAACATAATCGCACAAATCCTGAACACGCAAGCTTTCCAGTTCAAAAATTGAAGGCCTCATGGATGCCTGTTAAATAACAGGATGAATATCTGGGCTCCACACTGAATTCTACATTAACAACATGAGGGCAGGGCATCCACGGTTGTAGAATACTTTGCAGTTAAAAAAAGGTCAAGGATCTATTAGCATGGTCACCATTTCATTTGTCAATCTTTTATTATATCCTAATAAAGAATAAAGAAACATGTACAAAGTAAACAAAAACAAAAAACAGATGTTTTGCAACATTCAAGAAACAGCATAGCTCATGGCTGCTCTAACAGAAAGCAAATACTAGCCCATACATATTAAGGGGTGGATGGATTTTTAATTGGAAAATATACCAACTGACAGCTTTTGGTACTTCGTACTACACCATGGAAAGGAAATGCGGCAAACAGTTCCATCAGTAACAAACTGGATGAATGAAGGGATTGGAGATGAAGAAATATTTGGGCGAGTTTCAAAAGGAATTTTCTTCGCCACCCCCTCTGGTAATATTGGCTAAGGGTTCAGCCGGCCAGATCACAAACTGTTGAGGTGCATCTGAGTAAGTCATATTTTATTCAAGTATTTTCCAAATAATTCCACTCAAGTTATGGGGGTAACATTGTTTAATCAAACGGACTAGCATATCTTCGTAAAATTCCTCTTAACAGCTTAATCACACAACCAGTTCGAATATTGAAGGCCTCATGAAAGCATGTTAAACAACATAACAGAACAAATATCTGGGCTCTAAACTGGATTCTACATTGACCGACAGAATTGAGTGCACCCACAGTTGCAGAGTACTTCCCAGTTAAAAGGTCAGAGATCTATTAGCAGGGCATTTTATTTTTCAACCTTGTATATCATAAACAAAGTTAGGAAAAAAAACTGGATGCTGTGCAACATTAAAGAAATAGCTGTTCTACTGGCTGCTATTACAGAAGCAAATACAGTACTAGCCCATACTGACTCAGGGGTGGGATGGATTTAAAAACAGAAGAGAAACTACTTCTCTTAGCAATTATAGTACACCATGGAAGGGAAAGTGTAAGGTCTAGGGTTTGTATTAGGCCACAGCCATGGATCGGAGCTACAAGCTTGACGACGAGGAGGGGAAAGTAGGAAAGCAGCTCACGCAGGAGCGCACACCACACACACAACACCTATCTGTTCAGCCATCGCCACCTCGTTCTTATCGCTTACAGGTTTAAATACAAAACTACTGGATCCACTCTGGCCAGCAAGCCGAGCCGGAAGGCGAGGTTGTCTCTTGGGCCGGCCCAATGCTTGAATCCCATCTTGGCGGTCGTCACTGCTGCTGACAATCCCTCCTCCCTTGGACACGGCTTAACCCCAAGCCGGAGCTCGCGGAAACCTTTGCTGCAATGCAACTTTGTCTTCCCAGGTGGCCAACTCCACTCGTGCTGAACTCCATTTGATCAAGACTTGGACGACGGAGTCAGAGCCACGCCGTACCACTCGCTGTTGCAAAACTTGCTCAGGTATCTGAAACTGATCATCAGGCGATGGAAGTAGAGGCAGGACTGGACAGTTTGGAGTCAGCACCTTCTTCAGCAAGGATACATGGAATACAGGGTGGACTTTGCTTGTAGCTGGTAAATCCAGACGATAAGCAACTTGTCCGATTCGTTCTAGAACAGCAAACGGGCCGTAAAACTTAAACGCCAGTTTATGATTTGCTCGAGGAGCCACTGACGATTGAAGGTATGGTTGCAGTTTCAGAAAGACCTTGTCACCGACTGCAAATTCCCGATAGGAACGATGTTTGTCAGCTTGATGTTTCATTCTTTGTTGAGCTCGAAGTAAATGTTGCTTTACAGAATCCAGAACAACAGTACGGTCAGATAACCACTATTGTAGATCACCATTCTCAATTGCATCATCAGGTGATATGCCAAAGTGGCGAGGAACGTGCCCATAGATAACTTCAAACGGTGTTTTCCCTGTCGCCGAATGCTAGTTGGTATTATACCAATATTCACACAGAGGAATCCACTTTGCCCAATGAGTCGGGTGCCCACTGACGAAACAGCGCAAGAAGCACTCCACCTGCTGATTCACTCGCTCGGTTTGCCCATCGGATTGAGGATGTCGAGCTGAGCTCATTCGAAGAAGGATCCCAGACTTCTGAAAAAGCTCACTCCAGAATTTGCTTGTGAATATTCTGTCACGGTCAGACACAATGGACAGGAGCATGCCATGCAGTTTGTAGACAAAGTTCAGAAACGCATCAGCTTCAGTTTCTGTAGTAAATGGATGATGTAAGGGAATAAAGTGTCCATACTTGGATAACTTGTCAATGACCACAAACAAGCAGTTGTACCGCCCCGATGTGGGCAAGCCTTCCACAAAATCCATCGTGACCATCTCCCAAGGAAGTGAAGGAACGGGCAGAGGTTGCAGAAGACCAGGGTATGGTACTCTTTCAGGTTTAGCTTGCTGACAGGTAAGGCACTGTTGCACATAGTTTTTTATGAATCCCCTCATTTTCTTCCATTTGAAAAGCTGTTTGATACGCTTGTATGTCACTGGAAAACCGGAGTGACCACCCAGCGGGCTGTCATGAAGAGTAGCACAAATTTTGCTATGGAGGGAAGGATTGTTTCCCACCTAGACACTTTTCCCTTGTTTAAGTATTCCAGCTCTGAGAGAGAACTTATCATTGCAGGTTGGGGACACTTTGAGCTGCTGTATTAGTTCAGTTGCAAATGGATCATTGCAATAGCTTTGTGCAATTTCCTCTAACCAAACTGGTTGTGCAACAGACAAGTACTGCAGCTCTGGTAGAACATCAGTAGGTATAGGAGGTCTCCTCGACAGAGAATCTGCAGCACTGTTTTCTACACCTTTCTTGTATTCAATGGAGTATTGTAATCCCAACAGCTTGGTCAAGGCTTTCTGCTGCCATCTGGTGTGCAACCTTTGTTCAGTTAAACAAGCCAAGCTTCTTTGATCAGTTCTAATGACAAACTCAGACACTTGTAGGTATTGTCTCCAATGTTCCACTGCCAACAATATTGCCAGGTATTCCTTTTCATACACAGACAGTGTTTGGTTTCTAGGTCCCAATGCTTTACTGACATAAGCAATAGGATGCCCTTTTTGCATAAGTACAGCACCAACTCCTATATCACAGGCATCAGTTTCCACCACAAACTTTTGTGAGAAATCTGGCAAAGCTAATACAGGAGCAGACATCAAGGCTTGCTTCAATAGCAGGAAAGCTTGATTTGCATTATCTGTCCAATGGAATGGAACCCCTTTTTTCAACAGATTTGACAAGGGTTTGCTCAGTATACCATAATGAGATATGAACTTTCTGTAATATCCTGCAAGAATCAAAAATCCTCTAACTTCCTTAGCAGATTGGGGCACTGGCCAGTCCTTA